GATGACCCTATTAGGAGAGTAGATGTATTAGATTTGGCCTATGTTAAGAAAGGAAGATAAGACCAAAAATATTTGATTAGAAAAGAATTTGACTCTTAACATGACACAATGAAGAAAAAAGATTCATATAGCCAACCCCACGTAGTGGTATAATAAATACTTGATGTTGTTATTCTTGTCGTCACCACCATCATATAGAAATTTTCCTTAAGTTTGAGGGGGATTTTTCTATCACACAACAAGCCCGATGCATTCCTTCACTTCAACCATCCAACTAGAATTCTAATAATAATATCCTCAACTATTTCACCATCACTCTAAACAATAGACCCAAGATGTCTAATGACTTTATTGCCCAAAGTCACAATCTCCACACTAGATCTATTACTAAAATTACACTCGATAAACTCAATTTTAGATCAACTCAAACGAAAACCTTTAGACTCCAAGGTTGACCTCCATAATTCAAGTTTATCTTCAATTCCCTCTCTAGTCTTATCAACAAGAATATCATCAACAAAAAGCATATACCAGGATACAACCTCTTACAAATGTCTAGTGATAACATTCATGACTAAAGCAAAAAGATACGAGTTTAAGGCTGATCCTTGATGTAATCCAACAGAAATAAGAAAAATACTTGGTCAACCACCTTGTGTTTAAACACAAGTACTAGCTCCTGCATAAATATCATTAATGACTTGAATATAAGCATTATTAACTCCTTTCTTTTCTAGAACTCTCCATAGCACTTCTCTTGAAAATTTATCATGTGCTTTCCTTAAATCAATAAATATCATATGTAGATCCCTTATTCTCTCTATACTTCTCTATCAAACCTCTCAATAAATGTATAGCTTCCATAGTAGACCTACCCGGAATGAATCCAAATTGATTTTGAGAAACATTAGTATCACACCACAACCCTGCTTCATAACTCTCTCCCATGGTTTTAACTAAATCAATAAATATCATATGTAAATCCTCCTTATTCTCTTTTTTTACTTCTCTATCAAATTTTTCAATAAATGTACATCTTCCTCAGTAGACCTACCCGACACGAATCCAAATTGATTTTGAGAAACATTAGTATCATGTGGTATCCTATATTTAATAACTCTCTCCCATAGTTTTAAAGTATGACACATTAACTTAATTTCTCTATAATTCCCACACTCTTGTGCATCACCTTTATTCTTAAAAATATGAATTAACACACTCGACACTTCTCCGCTCATCTGACAGACTGACATCTTTTTAGTCTTCAAAATAATATTAAAAAAATTTTGTAAGTCAAAAAATTCCTTCATCTCCTAAGCATTTCCATACTTTTATTGAAATATCATTAGGTCCAACAACTTTTCACACTTCATTTTTTTTAAAGCTTCTATAACTTCAATTTTATTAATACAACAACAACATCAAACCTTTATCCCATTAACTGACATCTTCAGGCAAACTTTGATTCCATGACCACTAATCTTCAACAAATGAGCTTTCACTCTATAATATAATCCTTTGTATGTTGCATTACAAAAATTGCATTTGAATGCAATATTGCCTCCCCCTTCTGATGTTTTACCTATTTTTGTAACATAACCCCATAGAGGTTTGTTATCTTTAATATTAATTTATGATGGACCATCTTCAGAACCAATTCCTACTCCACTAGAGCTCATTATCCTACAAAAGATCTATACAAATTAAAACATATGAATTTGAAACATGAAAAAAATTAAGTGAAAGTGTAGATATGTTGCGACTCTGTCGGGGGTCCAAGGGGGCGCTGCCCCCTGGCGAGGTTTGACCTGAGTAATACCGAGTTATAGTACCGAGCAATACAGAGTTACAGTACCGAGCGGTACCGAGTCCCAATACCGCTCGATATCGAGCAGTACCGAGCAATACTAAGTTCTAGTATCGTTCAGTACCAAGCGGTACCGAGTACCGAGTTTCGATACCGAGCCTATGATTAAGAAAATGAACATTCACTGCTCACGTCGCCTTCACTGTTCGCGTTGTCGAGCCGCTCCATCGACGAAGGATGATCCTATCGACTTTAATACTTGCGTCGTCAAGCCTCTTTGTCCACAAAGGATGATCTTGTTTGCTTCTATGCTCTCGTCATCGAGCCGCTTCTTCAATTATAACGAAGAAGACGAACACTTGTGTGGAAACGAAAAACCTAGCTCTTTGAAATGTTTCAGCCGCATAAATGAATATGGATATTGAGCGGAAATGCCGGAAAGCCGAAAAGAATAGGGTAAATTGCGTTTCCATTTTTTTTAATAGGACACACGTGTCCAGTCAAATTTAAATAATATTTTAATTGGACACGGCAAAGCCGTATCCGACACGTATCTGTGCCGTATCGGAGGCGTATTCGTATCCGACACATGTCCGATACAGCACGCCTCGTAAATAAGAGTATCCGTGCAACATAGATTATCTTTCATTTATTCAACAAAATCTCTTATTTTGGTTAGACAAAAGTTGATTACAAACGTGAAATACAACTATTACTGCTCTATTTCTCATTTCTCAAGGAAATCTACATATCTTAAAAGACAGGACCATATATGCTGGTTATGATTATTAGTAACATAGGTTTAATTAGTATAAATAAAATTTGTTGCCGAGACTAGTATATTTTTTTAGACTTCAACAACGTGTATGTTCTAGCCTAAATGCATTGTCCATGTTTAAGTATATAGTAAAACCTATCTACAAAAATGTAATATCAAAAACAATATATAATACTGGTATATCAGATTCTGATAAGAACAATAATTAAACATCTAAATTTTTCTATGATTAGAAGAAAACCATTGGAAAATCAACCTCTGGTGTTATCAGCAGAAGATAGGCTGGTTGTTTTTAAAGTCATTATGCATACCAGAACAACATTAGCACAAAAACAGCATTTCTGTAGAAGTTGTACAAAACCAAGTAGCCGACCCGCTGATAGTTCCAGTGTCCATGAACAAGAAGCAATCTTTTGAGGAAGCGAAACTGCCCCATAGCAAAATCGGATGCCATGACTGCTTGCCGACCTTCTTGACCACATATCCCAACACCAACATCGGCCATTTGGATCATTGAAACATCATTTGCTCCTGCAAAATGCAGCTGTTAGTTTACAATATCTAGATGATGACAAAAGTTAATTTTCTGTGGCAAAACACATTCTTGACAACAAGCCCTACCCCAAACAAATTCCAGCTTTAGAAGCTCTCATCAGTTTTCCAACTACGCGAGATTAAAAAAAAAAAAAACTAAGCTGTGTGACATAGCACAAAACCAGGCCACTAAAAAAAGCATTGTACTGATCACCATGTTCTTTGGAAAAAAGTCACTCAGAAAGAATTAAAAAAAAGGCACTTCATAACTGCGAAAGCTCCTCATTACTCTTTACAAGAATTTAAACGATAGTGATCCAAGTTATCACAAAATTAAGAAGGGAGCCACTCTTCAACAACGTTTATGCACTATTACCTCGAGATCTGAACTGAAGAATACTATGACGAGTATGACATATAAGATTCATCAGCACCTCAAATCAGGCTACCCATGCTTGGGCTAGAAAATGATTGGATGACAAGCAATTGACATGCGGTGTTTTCTTATGACAATCCATTGAGAATGCCTGCAATTGCAGGACAAATAGAATTTGGAAAGCAGCAAGCATTCCTTCATAATAAAAGTTTAAGAGATGAGTACTAATTTATTTCAGGCTGGCTTTAAGAATCAGTTTGCAATTCGACCAGCCAAGCCTGACGGGTTTTTCTTAACAGAATATCAAGGATCCAATATGAATAGCAACATTAAAGATCGAAAAGAATTAGATTACAGAAGTTGGTCCAATGGGGAAATTCTACCAACTTCATAAGTTCAACTAACTCACCATCACCTATTGCCAAAGTCATGTCATTTGCCCTGCTTTTAATAAGATCCACAATTCCAGCTTTTTGCAAGGGTGCAACACGACAGCAAAGTACAACCCTACAGGATGTTGCCAGATCAAATAGCTGCAAAAGCAAAAGAACATATATAATGAGATCATTCTCAGCAACCGTACAAAATAAAGTTGAATCTCAAAGAAGAACCTAGAAAGCATGACCACACCAAAATTCAAGTTAATAGAGAATAATCCATACATGTGGTTCGAGTTCTTTCTCCAAGATGTAAACAAGACTGTTTCCATCAATAATAAGTGCAAGTGGAAGATTTCTGGAGCCTACTAATTTCTCAGTAGAATCGAGAAATTCACCCTCTTTCAGTTTCCCACATCCATTGGTGTAAATCAAAGGTTTCACTCCATATCTTGCCTTTGCATCAGCCAAAAGGCGCCTGCAATCATCTTCAGATGTCCCATTGATAATAATTTGGTGCATGTCACCAGTCAGGAGCCGGCAAGATAGACCAATAGAGATTGCAGTCTCTTGCTTGTCACCTGTGAGAACCCAAACTTTGATGCCAGCTTGTCGAAGGGATTCTATGGTCTCAGGCACACCCTCTTGCAATTTGTCTTCAACCCCAGTAGCTCCAAGGAGATTTAATTGACATTCTACAAGGGCAGCTGCTTGACGAAGCTTGGTTACTCTCTCACTTAATGAAGTACTGGCTTCCTCATACTTCACCTGCCACTCCTCCAATTCGGCACCATTAAGTTCCCTTGCAGCAATTAGGAGGGTCCGCAAGCCTTGTAAGGAATAATCATTCAAATGATTCTCAGTCACATTTCTTATTCTTGCAGACTCAGTTCCATTACTGCAACCGTCAATCTGATTGTCAAGAATACTTAACATTGAAGTATCAGCACCCTTTACCAGAACCTTCACGGCATTGTTAGGAAACCTGATCACCACAGACATTCTCTTCCGCACACTATCAAACTCGTGGAGGCCAAGTACATCTAACCTGATTTAAACATTGAGATTTACAAACTAGTATCAATGCCAAATTTTGAAGATAAAAATGAGACAACCATGATGGCATAACCTGAATAACGTATGTGTGAAGGAAATAAATGAGGAAAACATTGCCTACCTAAGCATCTCACCATTGACATCAATAACAATGTGGCCAGATGTGCGTTCAATGAGAGTAAATCCATAAGCAGAAGCAGCAGCAACTAGGGCTTGTTCATCAGGAGACTCACCCTGGTACTCAATAGACACAACTTCATCAGATGATAGATCATATAAACTGGACGATGAACTTGAAATTATTGGAATGACAGTATTACAAGCTGCCAAGGTAAGAAAAAATTCATGAGCAGCAGATCTTTCCATTCCAGTTATGTCTTTGTGCAATAATTTCACAAGTTCAGTGTCAAGCTTAATTTCTGATTTCAGCTTCCATCTCCTTTGTCCTAACACTCCTGTATAGCAATAAAAAGACCGTATCAACACAATTATTGCTAAGGTTCACGTTAAAAGCACATTGCTAAGTCCAAATTACGATTAAAACAACCATATGTGCCTTAACTCATATCGTCTGAAACAAATTAGAAGAAATGATGATGGGTGCTAATTGCAAAACAACAACACAATTTTCACACATGAAGAGACACATTGTAGATATAAATAGAAAAGTTAGTTTTGAAAATAAATATTTCATTTTCACTCGTTTTGCATGTGAAAACAAAATCAATAAATCTCAGTTTGAGAAGCTTAAAATCAATGTTGGTTCACAACTACAACCAACTTAACAACGTGTCCAGTAAATTTCATTGTTTTGCATAATGTGTTCACCATCTTAAGCACCCAAATGGGCCCTAAGAAACAATGCATATGCAGCTAGATTGTGCACCCTTCAAACAGGCCGCTTAACAATCTGACTTGGCAGCCTTGATACAGCACATAAGTTTGGGTGAGATGGTCTATAGTGGGCCTAAATATTCACAACCCAATTTTAAAGCCATGCTTGGAAATGGAGGACTCATAGCGAGCTAAATATTTTTCGGGTTTTAAGGATAACTACTTTTGGAAAATGAGCAAACAGAAGCAATAAATTGTTTTGATGTCTTAAATGAAAATAATTAGAACCAAAAATCAGACCAATAAAAAGGTTAGGTGGTAGTTTTCCCTTTACTCAACCAGGAACTGTCACCAACTCAAGTACCTCCTCAAAAACCTTCCCAAACACTATCACATTAACTATAAATCACTAATAAAGTTTTCATTTTTTTTCTTATTTGTATTTATTTATGCCAAAAAACTTTCGCAATTCTTAAAAGCATCAAACCATATATTGACATTTACTGTAAACACCATGTCTACTTCATACAATTTTTTTTTTCTTTTAATTGAACAGCTAAGTACCAAAAAATCTGAGTTTGTTGGAACTTCCTTCAGCTTCTAGTGCTAGTTCAGTATAGCTTACCAGGTTCAGACTAAATCACGACGCGCCCACATCAAGCATTAGAGGCCCAAACATAACGTCAGCATCCAGTAAACACAAATTAATCAAAATGAAGCTCAATGCCAGTCACAACCATAAATGCCATTTTCTTTGCAATACTCATCTTGCATGCCTACCACTTATATAAACAATAAGCTTGCCCAGATTAAGGGTTTGTTTGGGGCTACTACAGCTTTTATAAAGGGACTTGTAAATTTGTTATAGGAAAAACAACTTTTTGATAGGACTTGAGGATAAAAAAAACACAACAATAAAGAAAACAACAACTTACTCTAAATAGATCCAGAAATAATACCAAGAGGGTTGTATTTACTAATCTCCAAGTAAAAAAGATAAGATACAAGTTGATTAGCTTTTCGAGAAGTGAATCGTCTCTCCCACAATTCTTAGCAACCACTAGAAACTCAAACACCCAACAAAAATTGCTATAGAAAATAAAACTCAACATAAACCCTAACCATAAGTGATATGTTACTGCGGTCTCTTTCTCCATAGAACAAGTAGCTGAGGAAGAGACAAAGTCCTTCATCTGTAAGGTTGAATCTTCATATAAACCCTGTACCCAATCTCAAACTGCACGTCTCTCATGTGTCCATCCATCTGCTTCTTCATGATTTGTTGTGCTCTCCATAGATGTTCCTTCAATTCTACCAAAATTCGGTCTCTTGCTCCATAGTACTGCTCCACTGATGACATTGGTGTGTTGTCATGCTCATAGTATATCAGATGAGGGTGATCACTCCAATATAGAATTTTAAATGACGTTGTCTGAGCTGATATATGATATGAAGTGTTATATCAATATTCTATCCAAGCTAACCACTTAGCTCACATCTTTGTTGTATCTGATACAAAACAACGAAGTAAGTCTCCACACTGTGATTCACCACCTCCATCTGGGGGTCTTAATTAATTATTTTAATTAATTATAATTAATTAAAAAATGATTAATTAAAGATTATTATTTAATTAATTTTATTTAATTGATGTTAATTATAATTAATTTAAAAAAATGTGCACACTCTACTTGCCTCGACATCCGTGCCCTCCACCGCCGGTTCCCGAAGGTATAACTCCTAAACCTAGATTTCCCTCTCGACGTTGGCGACAAACTAGCAAACCCCCAAGACGCTCACGTGGCGTTGTAGGGAGGGAAGCTAGTACGACGCCTACGACGAGGCGGAAATCGCCTAGATTCTTTTCTCGATGCTTGTAACGGGCCAGCAAACCCCCGAGACGCTCACGTAGCGTTTAGGGTGGGAAACCGGTGCGATGCTCGCGACGATTTAAGAATCCCTCTTCAAAGCTTGCAACGAGCCGACAAACCCCTGAGGCGCTCAAGTAGTGTTTAGGGTGGGAAACCGGTGCGACGCTTGCGGCGAAGGGGATAAAAAAATGTGTTCTTTATTTTCATATAAGTACCCCTGAACGCCCACGTGGTGAAGAGGGGGGAAATTTGTGCTTATTTCTAACGAGTTTTCTTCTTATATAATAAACAAAACACCCTTAAATGCTCAAGTAGCGGGCGGGGATAAAAAAATACATATGCGACCGCGGTGTCATTTTTGACACCTACCTGAAGCGCTCACGTAGCGTCGAGGGGAAGGTCGCCTCTTGGTTTTTCCCCTAAACGGGGGAGACGCCGGGAGACTGCCGAAATTCAGATTGAAGGCACCGTGGACTTGAACAGAATTTTGGCCTATATGTGAGCAAGTTTTGGAAATAAAAGAATAAGAACCTGAACTCAGATGAACTTGAACAGTAGACTTGTGGACCGTCGAACTTGATTGAACACAGGCAGAGGACCTGAACAGAATTTAAATGATTAATAAAGATTAAATTCAAAATGAAATAAAATCAGATTGGAACCAAAATTCAAGCCAAATCGAGTATTCAATTGAAATCAAAAGATCTCCAGAAGACTTTGAATAATCATATGAACATGCAATTGAACTCAAAGGACTGCACGGGACTTGAACAAGACTATAACATCAAACAAAGACTTTGATTTGGACTGGATCCGAATTCGAACAGAACATCTGAACTTGCGCTACACAACATTAAGTGGGGGTTGTGGACTCGATGAACCCGAGTCTAAATGAAACTTGGCTCAGACCCGAATTCAAGAAGACAAATGAGTTCCAAGTATAATCTACTTGTAAAAAGAAGAGAAGCAATAATTTATGTTTGTAAGTTATGGCACGAACTCCTACGAACAATCCCCACAGTGCCTGTAGATTGAGATGACAAAACTGACATTTGATAGTGGAAGATCCGCCTCTACAAACAAGTACAATCAACAAACCCACCTGAGATTGGTGAAAGGTGATTTCAATGCAAAAGCAAGGGTCTCCTATGAACATTCCTAGGAGCTCGTAGCAAACACAACGGATCCTTACAAACAAATACGAGCCACTTGTGGATAACAACAATGGGCATATCGTAAGCACCATCGAACCACTGTGGGCACAAGTACAAGTATCTTCTGCGACGATTCCTACGAGGTCAAACAAGTACAACAACCACCCGAGGTTGGTGAAAGGGTGGATATGATGCAGAAGCAATGGGTCTTCTACAAATACCTTCAAAAGACCGTAGTTGATACAACCGGTCCCCTGCAAATGACTACTTGTTGATAACAACAGTATATTAGAACAACGAATCACTGTGGACACAAGTACATATATCACCTACGACATTGGTCGTCAAGATCTTCAAGTATTTCGGGTATAAGGGCAACTCGATGTACAAAAAGTACACTTCCTGTCATAATGGAAAGGAAGTTTGAACAAATTAGAACCAAACTTCCTAGTGTTCCAAAATCTCTTCCTAGTTCTATAATTTAGAAGAAAACAGTTCTGGTGTCTACAAACACCGAAAATAACAAGTCCGCTACACCGAAGATCCTGAAAGGAGTTTTTTTTTTCAAATCAGCAGTCTTTGACTCCAAAATCCTGAAAATCCTTTCCCGGTGATTGAGAAAGGGGAGTCAACATCAAGATGAGGAGATGCCTCATAACATCAAGACCATACCGCCACCGGATCTGCAACACCGATACAAGCAGACGGAAGGCGTCTACAACCTACAATGCAACGCCACCGGATCCGCAACACCCGTGCTAGCGGACAGAAGGCGTGTATAAGCTCTCAAATGAAAAGTTGTGTGCATCCAAACGATAGTTATCTACACAACTACAATTCTTTCAAAATACCTTTGCACGTGCACTATAAACTGTATACACATAGGTACACTAAAGGGGTATATAAAAATCACCCGCATGGGCCCCGGCAAGCGTGTTATTGGTACACACGTGACGTCTAGGGATGCTACGCGGGTTGACAAGTTAATTCAAGTTCGAACCCGATCCTCCTAAGCAGGTGAAAGGAGTCGACAGGGTTCGAACCATGAAACAAATATAAGGTTGTGGTGACCGGTATGTTTGTTTTAATGCATTCATATTAGGCCTTCAAGGCCTACAATTAAAAGAATTCACTAAACAAAAGGCATGAAGCCTACAAAACCCGACCCTCCTAAGCAGGTGAATAGGAGTAGACATGGTTCAAATTCTCAGATAAATATACGGTCACGAATGTGATCGGAATGTGTATTTTAATGCATTCATATTCGGCCTTCAAGGCCTAAAATCAATAAAATTCATGAACAAAGGTACAAAGCCTACAAAACCCGATCCTCAGTCAATAACTCGGCTGAGTTGACAGAGTTCGATCAGACAAATGAAAATGACCCCCAATCACCCCGATGATGGCCGTGTTGAACGCTAATCTCAACCGGAGGGGTCCATTTAATCCAAAGCTCCACCCAAATACTCCAGAAATCCAAAATCCCAAAAATCTCAGATATTTAAAATTGAAATAAATCCATCAATCACTTAAAGCAAAATCTATCCACCCTCCGCAACAGTTTGCCGGGGTGGACAAATCAAAATTTACTTCAGC